CTCACATAATCGGTCCAACTGATCTTCTCCATTCTTCTCCAACACCACATTTCGAAACTTTCCAGATGTTTCTGATCTACTGCCCTAAGTGTCCATGTTTCAGCCCCATACAGAGCTATGCTCCAAATGTAGCATTTCACTAGTTTCTTCCTCAAATTTAAGTCCAATTTGCTGGTAAAAAGATTCTTCTTCTTGCTAAATGCAGCTTTTGCCATGGCAATCCTGGATTTAATTTCACTAGTACACCTTCCATCATCTGTTAACAAGCTACCCAAATATTTAAAACATTTCACATTCTCCACTTGTTTTTGGTCTATCTTTATTGTGACTGGGGTCGGTCGTCTCGAAATTTTCATTACTTTTGTTTTCTCCACATTCATTTCCATGCCATAGCACCTTCCAATTTCAATTAGTCTATCAATCATGCCCTGTAGCAGTTTCTTCCTTAGCCATTAACACAAGGTCATCTGCATATTTCAGTTTGAATAAAAACGTTAGCCCTCGAAGCTGACACCGCCATAAGAACAATAACAGAGAAAAATCAACCGTATTTAAAATAATTAGTAGCTAATAAAGTACAAAAATTAATTAAGAAACAATAATCTACAACTAGGTATCTACAGAAAACCTACAACTACCGACTTAATCATTCATAACGATTCATATCACCCTTTTGAATATAAAAAATCAGCTACAAATTTTCTCATAAACTGATTAAATCATTATCCCCTTACACAAAATAATAAAAATATAGAAGAAAATATTATTAGAACTATCTTAAATAATAATAACTATCCACAAAATACTATACAGTTAACACAACAACCCTCCACTAAAAATAATACGCCAAAAAATAAATGGGCCACCTTTACCTATTTTGGCCACGAAATTAGATCTATCACAAAACTTTTCAAGAACACTGAAGTTGGTATCTCACATAAGACAAAAAACAATATAAAATATTGAAAATTAAAGATGACAAAAGTGATCTGTATAATCTCAGTGGGGTTTACCAAGTACAATGTTCTAACTGTCCATTGAAATATATAGGACAAACCGGACGTACATTTAATATCAGATACAAAGAACACGCACGTGATATAAAAAATAATGGACAAAAGTCTAAATTTGCACAACATATTTTAGATACTACGCATGATTATAATACGATATATATCGGCAAGAAAGGCCGAACTTTAGATACATACGAAAGATTTCATATTTATGAAATCAGTAAACAAAATTTACAACTGAATGACAATTTTACTGAAATGTTCAACCCCATATATGATGTTATAATCAATACTTCCAAAACATAACATACAGTTACTTTCCCCCCCCCTCTCTCTTTACCTTCACTTCCCATATACCTTATCCCCCCCTCCTTCCCTTGAGTCGACTTTAATTTTACATCAACAAATCAGTCGTTGTTTACTTCTCACACAGTACGGACATTTTCTTTCGTATGATGAGGCACCTCTACTCTGTAAGTACATGTATTATATATACTACAGCTTCAATTTAAATATTCAAATAACATTTAATACTATTCCTTTTTCTATATATTTTCAAATTAATTAACTTACAAAGTCGTGGGCCTCTAATACCATCTTAAATTTTTGTTTTGGCCACGGAACGTATAAAGTAAACATACGCTGATCAGATGTTACAAAACATCAATTTTAATCTTGTTTTATATTATAACCTTCACTTTTATATATAAATGACCGCTGTATTTTTACACATAAGAATTAACTATTTTGTCATTGTATCTAATTTTACTACAGTTCAATAGTATATGTTTGTTGATTTGTATTCACATGATGATGGCCGTTAACGGCCGAAGCATGTAGTGAGGCATAGCTGGGTATTGACCTTGAGACTCCTTAGCTGTTGTGTTGTGACGGACAAATAAAGTTGTATATTGTAACACAACAGGATGCATGAAATTACATTATTTATTATACTGCAGTTGGGTTTTAGCCCGGTGGCAGTAGTACACAATAGGACACAACAGACAAGTAACACACATTACACTAAGTGACAACACGTTCAAACAAAACACAATACACAAAACACAACAATGAGGACATCCTACCACAGTGAATACAAACCAAATACGATTAACAACTACAACAATTACAGAGAAATACAAACAACTGCAACAAATACAACAATTACAGAGAGAGAGAAAAAAATACAACACCCAAAACACAAACAAAAGGAAACCAACAGTCATGGATGCGTAATGTCATTCACTTCACTTCTCTTCACTTATTACTTTCCTAACCCTTTGCCTAAAATTGCTTGGTTTACAGGACAGAGTACCTAAAGCATCTGCAGGTAGTTGGTTCCAGAGCTGTATGGTCCTATTTACAAAGGAGTATTTCCCGATATCTGTCCGTTGCTTTCTACTCCTAATTTTCTTGCCATGATCACCCCTGCTAAGATAGCATGGTGTTTCTAATCTGTCACCTATAGCCTTCCAAGCCCGTTCTCCCGTGTATGCTTTGAAGAGAGCACATATGCGAGCTATCTTTCTGCGCTCTGTCAAGGTTTCCCAGTTCGATTCGTTCCTATGGTGTGCAGATTTAGCCGCTTTCTTTTGCACCCGGTCTAACGCATTTATCTGTCCCTCCCTGTAAGGATCCCAGCACGCCGCCCCATATTCCAGAATCGGACGCACTAAAGATGTGTATGCTAGACTTTTAGTTTTCCTATTTCCCTTTTTTAGAATACGCATTGTAAAATGAAGTGCCTTCCAGGTTCTTTTCACAGTGTAATTAACTTGATCAGACCAGCTTAGGTCGCTGCGTAAAATTATTCCCAGATATTTACAGCTGCTCGCTTCTGGGATTACTGTGCCCCCTAACGAATAATTTAGTGGCTCCGTTACTCGAGCCCTCGTGAAACAAACTGCCTTACTTTTACAAACTGCCTTACTTGAAATGAAGATTATCGAATTAAAAATCAGTTAAGTATAATCAAGCTTATTAGATAGTTTCTTTCTCAGGAAAATTCAGTCTCGGTCGAAGGTGAAATGTCTACGCGGTGTATCGGAAAGTTTCCGGACTGGGTCAAAAATGAAATGCTGGCTTAACTTACTCAATTTTTGCTACCGTCTCCTTCAAAATAGTCTCCTTGGGAACGTATGTAGCGATCCCAACGTTTTTTCCACTCTTCAAAAGCACCGGAAGTCATTTTCCTTACTGCTCTCGAGCCCCGCTTGGGGCTTTGGGTGTCAGACATAGTTTCAAAACATCGCCCCTTCTGTTTCATTTCAACTTGGGAAACAAAGCGAAATCACAGGAGGCTAAGTCCAGCGAATATGGAGGATGGGAACGATAACCCTGTTGTTGTTAGTCATAAACTCTGTGGTTTTCACGGACGTGTGGGCGGGCGCGTTGTCGTGATGAAGGAGCAATGCGACGCATGTTCAATTTTTCTGTCAAGATCTGCTGACAAAATCCTTAACTGCTCCCAACGGTGTTTGCGAGCTCATGGATTGTTCGGCGACGGTCTTCGTGGATGAGTTCTCGAACTATTTTCAACATTTTCTGTCGTTTTTTCTGGTGTTTGGTCGCCCTGATAGTTCGCAATCTTCAGCTGGCACTCTACCGGGCCTGAAACATGAATGCTACTCAAAAGACGCTGTCCGGCTTAAAGAATGTTCTCTTAAAGCCTCACAAAGCATTTCAAGGGTTTTGGTAGCGGATTTACCGAGCTTCACGCAAAACTTGATGCAGTCACGTTGCTCGATTTTGCCATACATCGCAGACAAACCGAAACACGAAATGGAAGCAGCACTCATGTAAAAACAATGCCTGTTCACAGCGAGGTGTCACGTGGCAGACCGATGCAATAGGCTTTCGGAAGTGTGACCTTGGCCTCTCCTCTCATCTTCTTTCACCGATGCAGTTACAACAGTAACATCCAAGGAGGCCGCGCCATAACTCAAGCGGTTAGTCGCTGGCTATCCACCGCGGCGGCCCGCGTTCGATCCCGGGTCTGCTCAAGTGGAATTTGTGGTGGACAAAGTGGCGCTGGTGCAGGTTTTCTCCGAGTACTTCGGTTTCCCCTGCCAATCTTCATTCCACCAACTGCTACACAATCACCCTCACCTATCATCTGGGGTTGGTACAATAGGCCAGAAGTGACCGCAGTATAAGAGACTTAGTCCCACCCCACTAGCAATAAAAAACAGCCAAGGAACTTTCCGCTAGCACACTGTACAAGCAGAAGTTCCACAAGGTTCCGTCCTGTCCCTCAAGTGTATAGCGTATGTACGAACGGTACGCCCCAAAAACCTGGTGTCTTTCTAGGTCTCTCTGCTGATGCGACACACTGCAAACAGTGTTTTGCTCTCAGAAACCAATAAAAAGTACCAAGTCAATCAGTTCGTCTGAGAAGGACATGTCCACAGTTC